AAAGGCAGCGGTTTGTTCAGAGCGCTTGCGGCCACCAGGAGTGTCATATATATATATATATGGATATGACTATGACTATGCCTACATAGATGGAACACGGGGTGTCTCCTTCACTTTTCTTCCAAGGGAGTTTCCTTAAGTCATGTTTAAGTCATGCTGTTTGGATCATACTAGCTGTGGCCAGTTGACACCAGGTCCCCAGGTGTCCAGCATTACTTCAACGAGGCCAGCGAGCCAGACCAGAAGCATATGTGACTGTTTGAGAATGTTTGAGATATTCCTTAAACTATTGCAGCTGCATGTGTTCGAGAAAATAGCTCTTTCAACTTGGGCTCTTGCTTAGTGTGGAACTCTTGAAACCACGTTTTCTCAAGGGTCTGGCAGCTAATCTAGTTGAACACTCATCGTTTAGAAGTTTAGAACCATATTAGGCAGAAAACGTTGCGTGCCGCAGCGTTCTCTCTGTTTATAGGAACCAAGAAGAGCTTTGATTTGCCGCCATGGGCAGTACTGCCACAGATGTTGCGTACAGAAGGTGGCAAGCACAGCCCCGACAGAATTTTGAACTCCACAGGGGGTCACCGGAAGTCAGTCAACTCATTTCTGCTCTTTGCGTGGAACCAACTCGGTTTAGCTACTGGTGGCGCGAGAGAGAGGCTCAATCTTCCGGACAACCTCAAGATCGACTCCCTGAAGGGCCAAGGAATGAGCCATCGCAGTGAGAAGAGTGAGCCGTATGAAGCTTCGGAGCGTCAGCAAGTACATTTTGCAGTTGCTTCGGATGCCATGCGTGCTTTAACTTTCTAAATGCCATTTACAGCAATTCATCAGCAACTTTAGGGCGTTCTTGCCCTCATAGAAATCTTTACAGTAGAACGCCCAACGTGCAAGGTGCGCAATGAGACAAGTGCAAAAAGATGCACAAAGTGTTGGCTGCGTTTGCCCTTGGTCGAGTATGAACGATGTCATCAGATTTGATGTCACTTGTCAGGCTGATCAGGGAACAGCCACGCCAAGCGTTCCCCTGTAGCCTATGTTTTTTTGCCCCACCAAAACTTGAATGGCTGAGTGTTCGAGCTCCCAATGGCCTAAAGTCAGTTGACTTCTTCACTCAGTTTGGTTGGATGGCAGGCGAAGATGGCGGCTTCATTGACAAGGTCTCCGTTGCCACCTTTCTTTTCAATCCAATTGTCCCCCATTGCCATTATAGTGACTTCTTGATAATATATCGTTATTTCAAGGTCTTCCCGCACAAGCACCATTGTGAAAGTCAGGTGTGTTGACATGCTTAATATCCCGGTAGTTCAAGCATTCTTCACTCACAGGTTTCAAAGTCGGCGCAAGTTTTAAAGTTGATTGTGGTCAGGTCGTCGAAAAGGGTGCTTGGTTTCCCAACGAGGTTGCACGCCGGACAGCTTGGAGAACGAGAACGGGGTCAGTTGTTTGTTGTAAACGAGGTCAGTTGTTTATTAGTTGTGGAGATGATGAGTAGTTTTACCGGGCACTCGTTGTTCTTCGCTGCACCACTTCGTTTTTGGTAACTCTGATGGACTACTCCGGTGTCTACTGAGGCTGTGGAGTCAAAGTGGATATTGCTACAGCTGATGCGTCCAATGAGGACGAGAATAGCGAGCATGTGTGACACAACAGCGAGGAAGTGGAGTACTGTAATTGATTCGACTGATTGGAATGCTGACAAAGCCATCCAAAGGACGACAAACGCAACATCCTGCGCCGGAGCCCTGACATGGCATGGGAGAAGTTTGAGAACTTGCCGTGGTGATTGAGTGCCTCGTCAAGCGCTGTTTGAAAGGAGTCATGAATTGAGATTCTCAGCCACAAGAGGAGCATGCCTAGAAAGTCTCAGGCCTGATTATTGGAGAGACTGATGCCAAAATGCCGCAGCCTCCAGTGGGATGCTGAGAGACATTGTACATATGCGGCAACCAAAGTGGGTGATTTGATACGACTGTTCCACTCTCGTTTAGCCAAGTGGGACTAACGATGAATCCACCTGAATCTAGGTAAATATCATCCTTACAGTTTGTCAACATGCAGGCCTCCCATGAGAAGTACGATGAGGTAAATGGTCGGGAGGCTTAGACAGTGGCAGCTGAGGATGACGAAAGGATATGTTGCAATGCGAAACTTGCAACGCCCTGTGTGTGGATGCAAATGAACCTTCCAAGCAGGAAGGCATCTGAATTCTGAATGGCCAGAACTGCAAGAGCTCTTTCAATCACTGTTTAATCCTAGTCCCATGTACCATGTACCCTTTCAGCTGAGATTTCGGCCGTGCCCCAAGTTGCTCCTAGTAGCGTCCTTGTTCTCAGTAGTAAGGCCAGGAGCCCCTAGTAGCGTCCTTGCTCCTAGTAGTGATGCCAGAAGCCCCGTTCGTAGCATTCTTGTTTCCTGTCCCGTCCAACTCTAACTTCCCACGTTGCCTTTCTCCCAGTTGCCATCCACGGGGTCTTCGCTCCAATGGCATTGCATGCTGCAGCGCAGGAGGGTCATACAAACTGCGACACTGTAACTTGATTGAATCTTTTCCATGCCACTCATTTACCTTACACACACTCACACCATCTTGCACTATAGTGTGATAGCCAGGATGGAGAAGTTCAAGAAGTGGAACGTTTGCTGTCAGCGGGGCTTGTAGTCGAAAACTCAGAGCCAGCAATTGACAAGGAACTTGACAATCCAAGCACCCACAGCATGAACCCATGGAGCCTTTGGTGATCATACGATCTCGTGTGTGAGTTTTGGGACCGTTGGGGGATGGCTTCAAGGAATTTCCAAGACAAAACTCCAAAACGACCCGCAAAGGACTTGGTCGAGAAGCCGACCCGCAACTCTGCTGGTGAGACGTGGAAAGCTGAGTAGCCCCTGTGACAGCCATCGAGGCCGAGAGAATCTTCGAAGAAGGGTCAACATGTTCCAGGCTTTCCGGCTTCAACCATAGAAATCTGAAACACTTGAATGGACTCAAAGTTGAACTGGAGAATAATACGTTATCTAACCCTATTTAAACAACTACTCAGTACTTGTTAGATCTTAAAACCATTGGCCTTAGCAGATCTGTTTGTTCCGATACCTGCACAGTCCGACCAAGCATTTGTCATTTTCCAAGGCCGCTCTTTGCTGCATGTTTCAGTGGGCGCGCTGGGGAGCCCAAAGCCCCACAGCCAGCTTGCTTGCTGAAGTCAAGCAAAGTCACGAGTCATCATTAGTCATCAAGTGCTGGAGCAGTTTTTGTTGGTTTCTGTGCTACAGCAAGGTGCGAAGTTTCATATAAGGCGAAGATGGTGCAACTTCTCCTCGAGAAACGTGCGGCCGAGCTAGCATGTTTATATGATGAGGATGAGTAGGTGAGTAGGCCTTGCTTCGCCTTTTGATTTCTGCGCAATTAGGTTTTGTGAGACATGCTTTTGCAACATGATACACGATGGACTGAAGCAGCCTTCTTTTTAACTCTTACTAGCCGCCTTACTGTACCCGATTTCTCAGATTTCTCCATGTTCTTTGGAAGCATGAGCGCATGCCACAGAGATTCCTTCAGTTCTTGCTTTCAGTTCTTTCACCTGAATCCTTTCACACTGCGCACGGTGACATCCTTTTCCACGAGAACCAACGCTGCGGCATGCTGCGACCATGGACGGCGCGGCGACGGTGGGCTCGGTCACTGCAGACGATGCGGCCAAAGAAGCTGCCGAGGTGAGGAGCTCAAAACGAAGCGAGAGGAGCTGCAAGTGCTTTTTTGAGTGGAACAGCATCTAAACACATGAAAAGCAACGTGGAACTTTTTGTTATGCACAGATTGATCTGGAGGAACGATAACTACCGTCATAAACAAGATATGAAGAGCACAGGAGAAAACTCCAGCTGAAGTCTAGAGTTGTCCAAAACTGTTTGAACCGACTGAACGACAGCGCCTCCCCAAATAAGCTTCGAAATGAGCATCTAGTAGATCAAGACTCAAGACGGCATTATCAGTTATGTAAAAGACTCAAGACTCTAGTAGATAATTTCTTGGTTTGTCCATGCTTGGCAGGTGGGTGGGCCCGCAGCTCTTAGTGACGGATCGTGACTGGCGCGGCTATCAAGCAGAAGTGGAAGCAACTCGCCTTGTGACATCCAAACACGCCAAACATTTGTGGGCTGCCATTGCCTTCACTTTTGTTTTTGCAGTCGCGCTATCCGCTATTGATATCTATTGATGAACCAATCAAGAAGTCCTAAAAGGAAAGAGCGCTGAGAAGGGGGTTGAAATATCAAAATTTAAGTGGGCAAAGAGAGGGTTAGCCAAGCCCTTTCACAGAAATCACCAGCTCCCCACAGAAACGCGCTAATTCGGAGGCAGAGAACCCTGCCTTGCTACAACTGCGGCTAGCTATGAGACAGTCTTACTTGGTGCAGGGTGTCTACAGGCCACACTCTGCACTCTGGTCCGGGACCGAACACGATCACGCATTTGTTTCAGCAAGTCCCTCAAACCCAGATGGTGATGCTAGGTTGGTGTCCTCAAGAATCCTCCCTTTACCAGTAGAGTAAGTGACTCGCTCAGATGATGTGGTCCAAACATGTTTTTTTGGCCTTTAGCACTACGAGGAGCAAGGACGCTACTAGGGGCTCCTGGCCTTACTACTAGGAACAATAAGCTACTAGGGGCTCCTGGCATCGCTACTAGGAACAAGGACGCTACTAGTGACCCTCCTTGGTTGGACGGAAGGCGTGCTTTGAGAACGATGCTGCTGGGGCTGTTGGACAAAGATATTTTGGCACAGGCAGCAAGACAGGAGGATGCTGGCCAGGCACGAGAAACACAGGAAACCAATCACATTGCAGTGTACGTTTTCACCGCGGACTTCATCACTCAGTGTGTCTAGCTTGCATAATGTTTCATTGGAGAAGATGCTCAGGTGGTCCCTTTTGAGGATTTGGTGTGCCTCATCCCAGCAAGCTTGCTCTCAGAAGGTCTCATCAGTGAGCTGGAGGGCATGGCACAGGACCGTTCAGACTCCACACTTTACGCCACTTCGGATCAACACATTGGCTTGCCACGTCCTGAGAAAGATATTGTTGGGAATGGTTGGATTACTGTAATTGTCTTCAACATGCAGGACGTTCACATTGCTCAGCAGAAGGCCGAAACCAAGCAGCGTGCATTGGCCATCGAAGATGAAGAGGGCGACGAGGAAAAGCAGCCGAAGCGGCGCGTCCTATGCCGTTCCACCCACGATAAGACAAAACAGGAGCGCTGGAAAAACTTTGACGTGAGAGGGAGAGCTTGATTAGATTACTCTTGTGTTCTTCCTTGTAGCTCTTTTGTGTTTGTACTGTTTGAGCTCCTAGTAGAACTCCATCGAAGGAATCAGCAGAAGTTGTCAGTTGAAGGCTGAAGGATTTCATCCTATTACTGTATTGTTTAGTACGTTGAACAAATTTTGCATTTCGCTTTGCCAGCCGCTCCCAGGAACAACATAAGCAATACGAGAAGCCCTGGTGAGCGATTGATTTGCTGAAGGGTAGCCACAGAGGCCGTTAAGCATGGGAAAGCTTTGAAGATCAGACGCAAGAGGCGTGCATTGCATTTTGGGAACTGTGCATCAAGCATCATCAAGCTAGGAAAGAGCCAAAGGGCAATAAGGCATGCAGTGATCCGCGAATCCTCTGTGTCATGCATGCGTGCATGCATGCGTGCAGACACAAAGTTTGGATTGCTGGGTCACGACCGTCACAGCTTCATTCCCACAGCAACTAGACTCCCTGGACTTGCCCTCAGCTGTTTCAAGATCACTCAAGCATTTGCTGTCTCTGGAATTGTGCAGGCCGCACACCTCATGGCTGAAGAGCTGAAGAAAGTACATGATCTCCTATGTGGATTTGTTTGACAGCGTGCCTACATGAGAGTGGCAAGCTGACATCGTCATGGTCTTCTTTGTAAAGGAACGGAACGAGCATGACAGGACAATTCACGAGTTCTCACAATGAGCATGAGGAACCTGCGTCAGTCGATGCGGTTGAAGCATCTGAGATCAGCCCGCATGAAAAAAGCGGATGTCGGATGCTGATGTTTGCAAACCAACTGTGTCAATGTCAGCAAAAAGAGACGCTGTGGATTCCTGTGGACGGAACAAGGTGTGGATTTCGCGGTGTCAGCTTCCTTGATCCGCCAGGATACCAACTTGACAAAGTCCACAGATGGTGCTGGCCTTAAAAGACCAGCAGTGTCCGGTTTTTGCATTCCTGCTTCCAATTGAAGACCAGCTGCAAGGCCAAGACAAACGGCTAATTGCGTGAGCAAAAAGATAAGAAAAAAAAGGATATGAGAAAAAGGAAGGTAACTAGGTAACCCCCTTTAGAGGTGCTTGCCAAAAGGAAGCTCACCTTTCTTCTCTCACATTTCTTACGTGCGGATACAGAAAAACTGAACTCCAGGCATGAGCCCAGCATGTGCAGCTGTTGCTGAGCACCACGAGGAGGTGTTGCAGCTGTTGCCAGGACCCAAAAAATGACTGGCACAATGCTGGTCAAGTGTTGGAGCTAGTCGCATTATGTCGCATTCACATAATGCTGATCGCTTTGGTTGCTTTGAGCTCGACACCGACCGGACAGTGTGAGCGGTCAAGGCTTGACGGGAAAGCCGACCTAAATCTGGCCAGTGCTGATGGTGGGACGCCTTTGTTTGTGGCCATTCAGGCGCGTGGATCGTGCAGCCTGCGCTGGTTTCAGACAGAGCTGGTTGGATTCCATGGTGGAGTCCATTCTCTCAACTCAGCCTTATCAGACAAAATCGGACGTTCTTGGACGAAGATGACCCGAAGCATTCAAAGTGCCTGTTACCATTCGCTTCATGACTGGAAAACCACTCCTGGCTTTGGAGAAGAAACGCTGTTTTTGTTTTTTTTTTCAGCGTGTTCCATGGTTACTTTTACAATCTTTTTATATACATATTATATATTAACACTACACATTTTTTTCTGCATGATGAGGCTGGTCACTATGATCTCGTGGAACGACTGCTGGACGACAGGGGGCCCAAATCAGATCATGTCAATTCATTGAGACGAGCTAGACCGCACACTTGTACATGTATGGTGAACCCTGTATGCGCTAGTTACACACTAGGGATCTCTAGAGCAACACTAAAGTGAATCGGTAAGAATCGAACAGATTGATCTCTTGTCATCATTTGTTGCCTTCCTCAAGATAGCCAGCAAGCATGCGAGACATGCTTGCGAACTGGCCACTGCAATTCCACATAACCGACCATGCTGCATTTTCCCGGTCTGAGGCAAAGGCGGATCCGAATGGAAGCAGCAACAGCATGCAGACGCCAGTGACGTACTTGGATCTGAGAGCAATATGAGCCAAAGAACAGCAATGTCACTGCAATGTGTCCTGGGAGCTGTTTTTTTTGCATTTGGCTCCAAGGTGCAGTTCTTGACACCTGCGCTCCTGCACAAGGGCGAATCAGTTCTGCACAAGGGCGAATCCGTGGGGACTCAAGTTGCAGTCGGTCACATACTGTAGAATAGAAAATCTATCAAGAGTCAAGTGAGTCAACTGCACATTTCTAGCCATTAGGCTCGAATTGGAGGTCAAGACGCAACCCCTTCGCTGGACTTTGCAGACATGAACACTAGAAACGAACAAATGGCCAAAAAGATTTTGAAAAGAAGGCAACAGCTGGCCTTCGGATCCCTTGAAGTGAATGTTGAGCAAACCCAGCCGGCTGAAGATGAGGAAGGCCCACCTCAGGAATCCTGCGAGAAACAGAAGTGCGATGCAGACAGACCGCACATGTCGTTCATCGCAGGATCGGATCCAGAGACCTGTGACGCATCGGATCCGACCAGTGACGCTTGTGAGGCACAGCAGTTTGACATCTATACTCCTCGCTTCCTCATTCACACTCCAAGATCTCCCAAAGAACTCAAGACTTTGCCCAAGAGGAGACGCAGGGGCCATCGAGTGAGGCTGCATATCTACGATGTCTCCCACGAGCCTGTTGTTCAACATTTGAACCAGTTCCTGGCATACAAAGATGCACCTGTCAAGCTCGGGGGCATTTTCCACGCGGGCATTGAGATTAACAAGATGGAATGGTCCTTCGGCAGTGGGATGGAATCGGAGATCTCGCAGACCGGAGTAAAAAGCTCGGTACCAACTCAGAATCCTCAGCACAATTTCCGACAGACAGTCTATCTTGGGCGGACAACTCTCACTCGTGAGGAGATCTCAATGACTTTAGCGAACATGGCAGAAGAGTATTCCGCAGAGGGCTATGACCTTCTGCGGAGGAACTGCTGTCATTTTGCGGATGATTTGTGTCGTCGAATCGGAGTGAAGCGACCGCCCAGATGGCTCCTTCGCCTTGCCAAGATTGGAGCAGCAGTGGACGAAGTGCTTCCAGAAGCCGTTCGAGATGCTTTGCCTTGGTAGCCAAAAACCAGTGAGTCAGGGAGTTGCCAGGAAATCTGCATACGTGCACATGAATGAAGCATTTGCCAGCGGTGGGATTTTGACCATCGCAGGCCTTTGCATGTTGTGAGACCATGTGAGACCCCTTTGGTTGGGTTTCATGTGCTCGTGGCCTACTTGTGGCCACTTACACAAATTGAAACACTTGTACAGGGTTTATCTCAAATGTGTTCAGAAATTGCATGACATTTGCCTTGAATGGGCACTGCTGATTAAGCAGCCGTGGTCCTGTTGAACATAACTTTACACGGAAACCAAACATGGCAGTGGAGTGTGCTTCATTCAGCTAGACTTACGTGTATTTCACTTGCACACAAAATGAAATGCAGGTGCTTGGAATTGCTGTTGATTGCACTGCATCATTCTATGAGGCTGATGACTTCGAGCATGCTTATGAAGCTTTGGACACGCTCCTAAGCGCGTGGAGCCTTGTCCGACTGAACACTGCTCGCTGCAAAGGACAACAGGACGTCAGTTCTTAAAGTGGAGACTTCGTCCGTACAAAATATATACAAAGGCAAAAGAATCCATCGTATATACAGGGCTTATCCAGACTTATCCGGTGTTCTTGCTTTTCCTTCGGGCAAGCCTTTCTTGATATGTAGAGGCACCTTTGCATTTATGTTGCCCAAGGCTGGTGCGGAGCCAGATCGTGTGAACGACAGCAGCAGTTGCTCTGCCCTCTTAGCAGCAGCTGTGAATGACTGCACAGACGTTGGGATGCTCGGTGAGCGACAACTGCAAATTCTGTTTGCAGACCATTGTCTCAGTCTTTTCCATGGCCTCCAACCCATAGCAGTGGCCTCCAACCTATAATATATAATAGCGATGGCCTCCAACCTACCAGTTACTAGCAATGGCCTCCAATGTTTGCAGACCTTTGTCTCAGTCAGTCTCTGCCAGCAAACTTCAAGTTAGTCTATGCTCGAATCTTCATGCTCGCAGCCCATGAGTTTTTCAGAGTGGATGAGTCATTCATGTTTTTATGCAAAATGCATTTCTCACTGATTATAGCATACCGGTGCTGGGTTGGTATTACTTATATATATACTACTTGTGTTGGCACTTTTGCAAGACGAAAAGATCCCTCCTGCAAGCCTTCCTGCATGGAGGCTCTCGAGCTTCTTCTAGACGCCAGGGCTAATCCCAACCAACGTGACCTTGAGTACCAGGCCAGCGGTCCAGTATTATATATATTGTGAAAGTGGCATGTCAAGCATCCACGTCGAACACGTTCGCCATGA